TTTCCTTCATCTCTTTATCAAAGTATTGCTATACTATTAAATCATGTTTTTTATATTTTTTTTTAGTTAAACCAGAACTCTGAGAAGATATATCTTGCACTTCATCATTTTGATCATTATCTTCATCAGAATTAATATTACAATATTTACTATCTTGAGTGCTCATATTGCGAAGTAATAGGATTTAGGGACAAGTCAAGTTACTAATAAATTTTTGATTATGTGTCAGAATAATGATGATACAAAAGAGACAAAAATAAATTCAGAGAAATCAATTTTAAGATAAGTAAAAATTAAATATTTTTATTTTTATTTGCAGAATTGAGTTTTAAAAACTTTATTAAAACAAAACTTCAGGTTTTTTATATATTTTCTTTATACAAATTTCACAATGCACAATTTTACTTTTTTTATAGAATCATCTCGCTTGTGCCAACATGTCCAAACACGATTATCGCCAACGTTTATATAGACTAGGTGCTGCAAAAAGGGACCAAATTGACAATTTTTTTGAAAGATATTTTTTTACATAAATTAATTTAGAATAAGATTGGTGCCATTTTTTACCTAAAATACAAAATAGTTGTATCAATAAAATTTTGCTATATTGCTCTTTAAGGTTTGCATTTTCTTATGATTTATTATGAGATTTATAACATAAAAATTGATTTTCTGAAGATCTTTTGTTTTGTCAATTTGGTCTCTTTTTGCAGCACCTAGCCCATATAATTGCACTAATAATTCTTTTTTTTCATATTTTATTTATTAGTTTCAACTCTATACATCATAAATCATACAAGTATTTTGTCTTTATATTATATCTAATATGAAACGACTTATACCAAAAATACAGTCATGAATAATAAAAGCGAAGTATGAATTGATAACTATATAAAGAATATATAATGAAAAGTAGATAAAACGAATAATAAATAATATATAGCAAATAAATAAATAAATAATGTACAATCGAATTAATATAACAATAATAAAATAATGTAATTTATTAGTTAATTGAAATGTCGTACTAATTAAGTAATTTTTGATATAAATATTCTAAACCCTAACAAAAAAAAGTAATATACAAAGATTAGCTTAAAGACCTAAATAAAAAAAAAAAAGCATTAGCTAAATATGTTCACAATTCTAAAAAATTGCCTAGTATAAAGACTTTTATATATGCATAATAAGAAAAGATGTGTTTACAAGCCACTAACAATAAACAAAATAAACTATACATACCTAAAATAACCCAAGAATAGAACAAAAGCTAAAGTGCTTTTAAAACATCTGGAAAAAAAAAAAACAAAATTTAGTAAAAAGCACTTAAAATCCAAAACAAAAAACAAACAAAAAGTACAGTGAAATCTCTCTAAGTCATGCACTCGAGATCAGAATTTAATGATATGCACTTAGAGACAATAAGAAACAGTGCATTTATAGAGGTTGTGTGTACATTTGGGCCAGAATCTGTGTGTGTATTCAGAGAGGGCATGCACTTATAGAGGGTATGCTTAGAGAGGTTTCACTATATCATACTTCAAAATTTTCAAGATTTGGAATATAAACCCTTAGTAAATCCTGTAAAAAAAAAAAAGGTCATAGCAAAGCAACCAAAAAACCAGAGCGACAAATAAAAAGAGTAAAGCACCCTTGAAATACCTGAAAGAAAAAAAAGAATTGAGTAAAAATACTCAAAATCTAAAAGAATAAATGAAAGAATGAAAGACATTATACTCTATTAAAATTTCCAAGATTCAGAATATAAATTCTAGAAAAATACTAAAAAAAATATTAGCAAACCAAAATAACAAATAAAAGAACAAATGTAAGGTACACTTTTTAAATTTCAAGATCTGGAATATAAAAACCCTAGTTAAAGTAAAAAGAGTGAAAATCAAAATTATTAATATATTCAAATCTAGAACAAAAGAACAAAAGGTAGAATGAAAAGTATGAACCTTTGCTGGCAAAAAAAATTATCAAAAAATAAAAAGATAAAGTATTACCTACATTATTCATCATACCAATATATAAAAAGTTCTTTAAGAAGTGATCTACCTTATTTGTCACATGGAGTCTTTGTACCTGTATATGGACCGGTCCCAGACTGGTCCTCTTATCGGTTCCATGGTTCCAGTCTGGTCCCAGTCTGGACTGGTCTTTTTTAAAACCGGATGCATCTCTAGGTATGATATACATATTGTTTATATAAGCAAGTTGACTAAGCGTTAAGTGCTTGTAATATAGTATCGAGCAGAGTTGTTTGACTATTCCCATTGCTTTGGCTTTAATGATAGTTTTCTTTATACTTGAGTTCAGCCAGACTTCTAAAAATCACACTGCAGAGTTTTTCCCCTTAGCTACTATTTTATTTTTTGCTAGGAGTATTTCTTTTTCTTCTTTTGTATTAAGTATAAAAAGCTTAGACTTTTTGGGGTTAATTTGAATATTATTAATTTTGTAGAACTGCTCTGTTATTTGCAGTATCTTTTTCATCTGTTGCTTGCTGTTGGCAATCCATATAGTATCATTAGCATATGCAAGTGCTGCGCATCTCAAGGTAGTGTTGCTTGCAACTTTATAATTAACATATAAGCTAAATTTGTAGCCAAGGTCTTGATTTTTTTTAACTATGTATATACAATATATAGTAGGTTATAAAAGATTTGCTATATTAATAAAAAGATAACTTCTCCTTGTTCTATTCTACTATTTGCTCAAAACTTTTCTGTTAGTTCAAATGCTGTAATAATATGAATCTGCCTTTCTGTGAAGAGATTCAAGATGAAATCGACTGCTTGTTTCAGTACTCAAGTCTTAAGAGTGCTCTTTTAATTGCTTCTAATAAAACTAAGTCGAACATTTTTTTCATATCCTGAAATAGGATCTATAGCTCTTTTTTCTTTTCTGCAGCTTTTTCTACAATTGTATTGAGTATGTGTATTGGTGATTCTGTAGAATTTTCTGAAAGGCTTGTGAAGTTGTTCCTTTTGAGGATTTTCTTTTCTTGAAGAATTTTTGCTAGTCATGTTGTAAAAATCTTTGTTATGTATTTTTCTGAATATTTCAAGAAGTGCAATTAGTTTGATGTTGTTTAGGTTATAGCCTCAGTCTTCATTTTTAGGGATCAGATAAATTTGTGCTATTTTTCATTTGGTTGGCATTATACTATTTTGAAAACATAGTTCTGCAAACTTTTTGAAAAGGCTATGTGATTTAGAGTTTGTTTTTTTAATTAGAAGATAGCTTATGCCTGAAATGCCTGGAGCTGTGTTATTTTTAAGCATTGCTAGTATTTCTAGCCACTCCTCTTCTGAAATTGCCTAGGAGAGAGAGTCATAATAGCTTTCTTGAATAAAATCTAGGGGTTTTTAGACTTCTACTCATTCTGAAACCATTTCGTTAAAGGAGGTATTCCTTATAATATACTGCTTTTAAAAGAAGTCTGCTATGTATTTGAGAACTTCTACTAGGCTTGTTATTAGCTCTCAAGTGTACTGTTCCTTTTTTTTAATGAGCTTATCAATTTGGATTTTGCATTTTGGTTTTTCTAGAAGACTATCTAGCATTATTTTTTGCTTTTCTGCTATTAAGATACAATGCTTATTAATACTTTTTTGTATTTTTCTACTCTTAATATAGACAATTTCTGCATTGTTCTTTTTTTCTAGTAGCTTTTTTCAACCTCACAGGTCTGCTTTCTATTTTTTAAAATTATGTATATAGTATATTAGAATATTGATCACTTGCTTATTATTGATGGCTTCAATCTAGCTATTGGCTAAGTAAATACTTGTGGGGCTTGCTAAGGTGGTTTTTCCATCCTGTATATTTCTTATAATTTTTCCAAATATAAGGATATCTTTTTCGAGATTTGATTTTTGCCTATACTATAGCCTGCATTAAGTATTTTCTTTTTTGGTATATTTTTGTTTGTAGCTATAGAGATTTTATTTTAAATAATGTTCCAAGCTTGGTCTATAAGGTTTCTTTTAGTTTCTTGTCTTGATGTAGATAAAAGTATAGTATTTAAAGTTTGGCTAAGCTTTTCCTTTTTAAGAGCTTTTTGTAAATCACTCACAAAATCCTCCTAGTTTTCTTTAAAGGCTTTGTCATAGAGATATATTATCTTTTTTTAGCCTCATTGTTTTATTGTTGCAATGCTCTTATATGCAACCAAGTAATTAAGTGAGAGTTGTGTATATGCTGGGTTGTAATTACTATATATTCAAGTGCTTATATTCAAGATATATGCTTTGAAGAGTTCTATAGCTAGATCTTGCAATATCCAAATCTGATTAATTTTTGTGGCTTGCTCTTGGCCTAACCAGGTAAACTCTTTGCTATCTGGATTTAGTATTTGGTATGAGTCTATGAAATCTTGTCTTATAAGCCATGCATGTAGTGATAATTTCTTAATTGTATTATTAGTATTATTTTGTCTATCTAATTCTGTATCTATTATGTAATTGAAGTTTTCTATAATTATATATTATACAAATATTGTTTGTTTTGTGATTCTGCTAGTTACTTCCTGTTGGATTTTTTTGGTCACATTTTTATTGTTTGGAGAAATATATATTATAAAGATAACTAGCTCGAGTTGTTTAAAAAGAAAAGTTGCTTCAATCATATATAGTGTTTTGCTTTTGACTTGACAAAGGTTCTTTTTCCATTTATTACTAATAAGCAAGCCAACTCCTAAACCTTTGTATTTTTTTTTGTCTGCACTTGCCCAAAATCTAGTATATTCTTCTCTATCAAACTTTAAAAAACTGCCTTCCTTGTTTGATAAATTTGTTTCTGCTATTCTGATTATATCTATTTCTTTTTTTTTAGCCTATTCAACTAATATGATACTCTTTGTTTCATCCCTTTTAAGTCTATTGATATTATAACAACTAATTTTTAAATCTAGATTGTCTTTTGGTTTTGGCAGGCTTTTGGTTTACTGCCTATATTTGAAAAGATGCCTATTTAGAATAGGTTTGGTCTAGTTAGCAAAATTGTCTCATAGTCTTTTTTGATTTTGGATAGTTTTTCCAAAATCTCATATAGAGTATCTTGTTGTCTAGATGTGGCTTAGCTTTATCTTTGCCTTTTTTGTCTAGTTTGTAAAAGTTATTACTTGCTGTTTGAGTAAGTATACTTGAATTATCTATATTATAGTTCTGTAGGCTTGTATTGCTTGTATTACTATTTCTTGCCTTGTTGTAGGTTGCTTTGTTACTATATATTGTTTTAGGGGCATTCTCTTTGTTATTGTTAAGATAATTACTAAGATTTCTAAAAAAATTTGTGGATTTTAGTTTTTTAGTTGTACCCTTGTTTTTGTAATTTTCAGAGTCATTAAGAGGTCTTTTGCCTTTGTTGTTATTAGCATTTGTATTTTCATACTGAAGTTGAGATATTGCAGAGTTTTTTTTAGAAAACATATGAGAAGTTGTTTGCTATTTAAGTTTGGTATCAAAATAATACATATTAGTTTTTTGGGCTTGAATAAAGTCTTTTTTAAATTTAAAGTAAATATGCGCTCTTTTTTTTTGATTGCCATTATGGTTGCAGAAAGTGTATACAGCTTGTACATTGTATTTCTTAAGTTGATGCAGAAGCAAGCTATCCAGTACTATTTTAGATATGTTGAAATTTGTACTTTTATGTTTGTTTCTTTCTTCTAAGAGAGTATTGTTAAACTTTTCTAAAGTTACTCTATATGTTTTCCCTTAATCTAAATGTAATAACCAATTTTCTTTAAGAGAGTTTTCTTTCTTTTTTGTATTTGTTGTAATTTTTATATAGGCTACCTTGGTTTTGAAATTTGATTGCCATGCAAGGATCGATACTGAGCCAAAATACTTGAGATATCTTTTGATTTTTGTAGTATTTAATTCTTTTGGCAAATTCCAAAGCATAAAATAGTAATATAATTTAAGCTTTTATACCAAAAGATTGCTCTTTGGTGCCTATATTGAATTGTATATGTCTTCTTAGTGCTTAGCTTTTTTATTGCTTTTGATTAAGACTAGCTTTGTAGTACTTGATATGTTTTTTCTAACTTGTTCTGTAAGACCATAATCTAGAATACTATATTCAATTTCTAGTTTTGCTTCTTGTTGATCTGCTATTGCAATATCTGTTAATTCTTCTTGTAAAAGCTGCCTTTTATATGCTATATTATCTGCATTACTAGCTATGTTGTTGCTATTGATTGAAGTATTTGTTTGGAGGAGATTAATATCTATAGGAATTGGTTCAGACTTGATACTTGTATGTGTATAATTTATCTTCATGTTGTTATTCTAGGGTAAATTGTTCTTTTTGTCTTTTATCTGTAAATTATTACTAGTATTGAGATCAAGAAGCATCTTTTTATTTTTAGTTAAGCTTTGTTCTCTTGTTTCTTTGTGTTGGGCTCATTCATAGTGGTGTAAAATATTGTGGATGATGGCTATAAGACAGGCTTTACTAGTATCCTAGTAACTTGCTACTTTTCTATCTTCTTCTAGGATTATTTTATTTTGTTTTTTACATAAGAAAGCTCTCTCTGTTTCTGATTTGTTAAAGAAGTTTTTGTATTCTACTAGTTCTAACATACTATGCATGTTTATTTGGCTGTTTGTTTTAGTTGACACGTGATTGTTTGTTTGTTTGTTTACTTGTTTAATGACATGTTCTGTTTGTTCTGTTTGATTGTTTGCTTATTGTTTGTTTACTTTTTGCATGTATTGTTTGTTTTGTTGTTTAGTAATCTGCGATGTAGTGTAAGAGGCTATACCCAAATTTTGCAGTATTTTTTTTTAAATCTTTTGTTAAAAAATTTATTTTTTTCTAGTAGTGCAAAACAGAAACTAGGGCAAAAGTTTTTGTTCTAACAAACTACTATTCTTTTTTCTTGTTCTATCCTTCTTTCTAAGACTACTTCTATAGTTTTTTTAATAGAATTAGGGTCTATTTGCAAATTTTCTTCTGCTCTAGTTTTGGTTACAGTAATTAGCAGAAAGAGTGCCTAAAAAGTGTAATGTGATTGGGCTAATTTAGTGAATATATAAAAGCAATTTTTCATATCTAGATATTCACTTTGTGCTAGAAGTAAAAAACTATAACAAAGTACTTCTTGTATTTTTATTAAATATGCTTTACTAAAATAATACTAACCATCTTTTTTTTAATATATTATAGCATTATTTAACAAGTTTTAATAAATATTATATAGAAAATATATATAGTAAAATTTAAGCCAACACTTTTCAAAATATATTAGTAGATAATATTATAAAGCAAGCCTATTTTATTATGAATTACAATTCTATATTTAAAAACACCTATTACAGTATTACAAAACTTAACAATACCTATATACTATAAAGACATTAAATTTTTTATATAATAAAACAGAACTTTTTCTTTTACAATATTTTCAAGACCTCTTTTACAATTGTAAAAGAAGTATTCTAAGATCTAATAAAAAAAAAAAAACTGCCAACCACATACTATCTTGCTAATATATTTTTGCGTAATAATGCTTATCTGTGTATTATTTTGAGTATATGCATATTATTTCGAGTATATATATAAGTATTATTTTGAGACAATTAAAAAATTTTATATAATTCTTGTATAAAAATAAACAAACAAAAATACTAGATTTAGTACTAAATAACCTCTCTTTAAGCTTTAATAAAAGTTCTAAAAAACAACTTTGTTGAAGTTTGAAAGTTTATTTAGTACTAAATCCAGTTCTGAAATATTTTTAAATCTTATTATAAATAAACATTCTTTACTATGAGGTGTATGCTATTTTGGGACACATATAAGTGTTATTTTGAAACTATATATATATATTATTTTTAAGGGGTATAATTTTTGAAATAATGCTTATAAGCATTATTATACAAAAATATAGTACTTTAAAAAAAGATATAGACTTGTGATATCTTCTAACAGCTTATAGTATAATACATCCTCCATATCTAGAATTGTGTAATTCTTGTGAATATTTGCTTGTTAATAATAATAGCATGATATATATTTACTTGTAGTTATAATTATTATATTGATTGTTATCATGAAAAATATACCTATTGTAAAAAGTTTTATAAAAAAGAAATTTTTAAAAATATTTAAAAGTTTTTAACCTGAATCAAAAAAGGAGAAGATAAACTTACCAAGAAAGATATTGATAATAATAATAAAAATAATATGGAAAATTAGAAAAAAAAGTCTAAAAATATAGAAGAATTAGATCTTTTGTCAAAGTTAATAGCAAAAATTAATTAAATAAAATATTAGTAAATATAAAACAAATAAATAAATATATTCAAACTAACCATTAGTCTTTTTACTTTGAATTTCTCTTTTTTTTTTAAAAAAAAAATAATAAGTCAAATATAAAAAAGTGCTTGTAGATTTAATTAAATTATTAAAAATTAAACTGAATAATATATAGGTATTAAAAATTAAAAAAAAACTTATTATCTAATATGCAAATATAAAAAAACATTTAAAAATTTAACTGAGTCATTAAAGCTTAACCCAAATAAAGAATCTGATTTAAAATTTTATAAAGAACTAATGCAAGTAAATTTAAAAAAGAATTAATAATCATCTACAAAGAGTTAAAATTGATTGCAAAAGAGCAAACTATTACTATATATTTGCTAAAAAAAAACTTATGTCTAATAAAAGTCATGCAGATCGTAAGATGTGTAAGATGCATTTTGACAAAATGCTTACTTTGCGGTCATAGAACACCCTGGCAAAGTTTTGTAGGAATTGGTTGATTTTTTGTTAAGTTGTCATATGATGTACTCCTATTTTTTATGGTTTTGCTATAAAAATCTCGTGTAACCATCGTGCATAAATCGAACTTCTGTCATGCTCAGCCCGTTCAGTCTTATACCTAGCTGGATCCGGTTTTATTTTTTATATACAAACCGGCTTAATCCAAAATAAACAGGAATTCTTACCGTTACTATTATCGTTATAGATTTAACAAAATTCTATTATGTATTCTGGGTCATAACTTTATAAAAATAAAATTTTAATTTTATAATTTAAAAAATTTTAAATATTTTAAATAAAAGTACAAGCGGGTGGGTCATTTTTTTTGTTTATGAGAACCAAAAAAAATTAACTTTATATAGCATTAAATACTTATAACTTTAAAAATTCTAACTGATAATTCGACTTGGTGCACCATATAAAATTTATATAATATGTATACAGTATACGTGGGCTAGGTGCTGCAAAAAGGGACCAAATTGACAAAACAAAAGATCTTCGGAAAATCAATTTTTATGTTATAAAT